GGGGCCATCTCAGGATCCAGCACTTCAGCAGCTGGTTGACATAGGGTGTTCCTCCTATTGGATCACCTGATATTTGTCCTGTTTACATCTTATTATTTATATTGCCTCATGATTTCTCGATTATTTTTCTACCAAATAAATATTTACACTAACAGGCCAGGCATAGTGGCTCATGCCTGTAATCTTAGTACTATGGGAGGCCAAGGCAGGTGAATAGCCCTGAGCTTACAGGTTTGAGACCAGCCTGAGCAAGAGTGAGACCCTGTCTCTAAAAAAATAGCTGGGCATTGCAGCAGGTGCTTGTAGTCCCAGGAACTTGGGAGACTGAGGCAAGAGAATCACTTAAGCCCAAGAGTTAGAGTTTGCTGTGAGCTATGATGTCACATCACTCTACCAAAGGTGACAGAGACTCTGTCTCAAAACAAAAACAAAAACAAACAAACAAACAAACAAACAAAAATATATATATATAGGCTCAGCACCTGTGGCTCAAGCGGCTAAGGCTCCAGCCACATACACCTGAGCTGGTGAGTTCACATCCAGCCCTGGGCCCACCAAACAACAATGACAGCTGCAACCAAAAAATAGCCTGGCATTGTTGCCGGCGCCTGTAGTCCTAGCTACTTGGGAGGCAGAGGCATGAGAATCGCTTGAGCCTAGGAGTTGGGGGTTGCCTGTGAGCTGTGATGCCATAGCACTCTACCTAGGGCAATAGCTTGAGGCTCTGTCTCAAAAAAAATAAAAATTCACACTAATAATCAAAGTTGAAAATTATTTTTTACAGTATTCTTGCATAGACAAAGCCACTCTGGTTTTTGTTTGTTTGTTGTTTTGGGGGCTGTGTGTGTGTGTATGTGTGTGCACGCTGTTGTTCTTTTGTGAGACAGGATTTCATTCTATTATCCAGGCTGAAGCACAGTGGCATGAACATAGCTCGCTGAAGCCTCAAACTCCTAACCTCAAGCTGTCAACTTGCCTCTGCCTTCCCAAAGTTCTGGGATTACAGGTATGATCTACTGTGCCAGGCCCCACTTAGTTTTAACTGATATAAATGCAAGTCACCTTTTATACTGAAATAAATATTGACTCCCCTGTCTTTAACTTATTTCCGTAAAGATTTGGCCATAAAGAAGAATATGGAGGTTTTCAAATATATTTCTCTCCTCCCAAAATTTAGATTATGGAAAATTTCTGTATAAAAATACAACAGTATGATAAATTCTTAAGTACTCATCACATAACTTCAACAATTATCACCTATAGGTTTCTGGGTCTGCCAACTTATTAGCAGTTCAGCAGCAACATATTATCCTTTAGCTCTTGTCAAGTCACTTTTTTAAAAGTACCAAAGTGTTACTAGATATTGTTTCTTAGTTATTCATTTACAGATAATGTACATTTTCTTCATTTTAATTCTCAGATTTTAACTGGGTATCTTCCAAAATGTCCACAGTGAACATGAAATATTTTTGTAATAAAAGAAAAAATACATTATTTTTAAATACCATAACTAATTTTTTGTTGTTGTTGTCGCAGTTTTTGGCTGGGGCCAGGTTTGAACCCGCCACCTCAGGTATATGGGGCTGGCTCCCTACCCCTTGAGCCACAGAATGCCCTTATTTTTATTTTTATCCTTTTTCAGAGAGAGAGATGGTCTTGCTATGTTGCCCAGGCTGTATTGTGGTAAGTACTCACAGATACAATCATGGTGCATTACAGCCACAAACTCCTGGACTCAAGGGATCCTCCTGCCACACCCTCCTGAGCAGCTGGTACTACAGGCACAAACCACCACACCCAGCTTGAAAAATGTACTTAAGAAGTATATTTTCAATTGTTTAATCAATGAGTCATCATTGTTCTTCCTTAAAATCAACCAACATCTCCCCATGAGTCCATATAGCTCATGAAGAGGGAGTGCAATAAAAATTGTTTTTTCAAAACTTTTTTTTCAGGACAGTGCCTGTGGCTCAGTGGGTAGGGCACCAGCCCCATATACGGAGAGTGGCCGGTTCAAACACACCCCGGCCAAACTGCAACAAAAAAATAGCCGGGCGTTGTGGTGAGAGCCTGTGGTCCCAGCTACTTGGGAGGCTGAGGCAAGAGAAGCTGGAGGTTGCTGTGAGCTGTGACGGAACGGCACTGTACCGAGGGTGACAAAGTGAGACCCTGTCTCTAAAAAATAAAAAAAAAATTAAACAACAACAACAACTTTATTTTTTTCAAAAAGAGCAATCACTTTTTTTTTTTTTTTTTTTAAGAAACAGAGTCTCACTTGATTGCCCTCAGTAGAGTGCCGTGGCAGCGTCACACTGCTCACAGCAACCTCCAACTCCTGGGTTTAGGCGATTCTCTTGCCTCAGCCTCCCGAGTAGCTGGGACCACAGGCTCTCGCCACAATGCCTGGCTATTTTTTTGTTGCAGTTTGGCCGGGGCCAGCTTTAAACCCGCCACCCTCGGTATATGGGGCCTGCGCCCTACTCACTGAGCCACAGGCGCTGCCGGAGCAATCACTATTTTTTTAAAAAAAGTTTTTTTTAAGGAGAGATGGGAGAAAGAGGGGGAGAGATGCTGATGTGCCCCCCCCCCAAATTTTATGGTATAGTAGAATATCTGTGAAGCTAGTGAAAAAAGGAAGAAAAAACTACCTACACTCAAATAGAGGTCATGATAATCTTGGTTCTGCAGCAGAGAGTGGAAGGTTCTTTCATGAAAAAAAAAATTTTTTTTTTTTTGAGACAGAGCCTCAAGCCGTCCCCCTGGGTAGAATGCCGTGGCATCACAGCTCACAGAACCTCCAACTCCTGGCTCAAGCGAGTCTCCTGCCTCAGCCTCCCAAGTAGCTGGGACCACAGGGGCCCACCACAGAACCTGGCTATTTTTTGGCTGCAGCCTTCATTGTTGTTTTGGCGGCCACGGGCTGGATTCAAACCCGCCACCTTAGGTTTAGGTGGCTGGCGCCTTAGCCACATGAGCCACAGGCCCCAAGCCATTTTTTTTTCTTAAGGAAAATCTACCCTAGCAACAAAAATGTCTTAATGTCTGAGCATTCAATTCCCTCAGCAACTCATGACCTGGTGCATGACAGAGACATGGTTTCCACAATGGTTTCTAAGGACCTGGAGTCAGTATCACTGTGCATCAGAGCATAACTGAAGAAATAGACTCCAGAAAATCTCTTTCTGAACTAGGAGTTGGATTATCTTTAAAACAAACAAACAAGACAAGATTAACTGAGATGCAATTACATAAATATAATCCAACTGTTTACGTGTATAATTCAGTGTTTTAAAATAAATTTACACAGTCATTCAACCATGCTGACAACATGGATTGTTTTTTACAGTTCCTCCGAAACTCCTGCTGTAGTGCAAATGCAATGAAGTCGCAAGTTCCAGCTTTGCCTCTCATCCATGCAACCAGCTTTTTAATATAATACAATTTAACTATGCCACGATTACCGACATACACTTGGGTGAATGGCCTGATTTTGCCCAATTTGTTAGTTAATCAACAAGATGTTCATTCTAAAGTCTTTTATTCTGAAGGATTGACTGCATATCCTCTCTAAGGTCTCTTTCAGCTCTACTATTCCACAACTCTGATTTTAATGGGGTCCCTTGCAGCCATGTTAACTGAGTTCAAGAGTAAGAAATAAATTAAGCCGTCCGATAAGGAATATTTATTTTTTATTTTTATTTTATTTTTTTTTTTTTGAGACAGAGCCTCAAGCTGTCCCCCTGGGCAGAGTGCCGTGGCATTACAGCTCACAGCAACCTCCAACTCCTGGGCTCAAGCGAGTCTCCTGCCTCCGCCTCCCAAGTAGCTGGGACCACAGGCGCCCGCCACAACGCCCGGCTATTTTTTGGTTGCAGCCGTCATTGTTGTTTGGGCTGGGGACTCGAACCCACCACCTTAGGTGTACGTGGCTGGCGCCTTAGCCGGTTGAGCTATAGGCGCTGAGCCAGGAATATTTATTTACATAGCTCCTTAATGTTTGTAGGTGTGTCTGTGGAAATAAGGAAGTGTATTTTGGTGCAGTCCCGTCTCCAAACTTCAGCTTCCTGGGTTCAGCAGAAATTTTCTAAGTTTCCCGCACCAGCTGTAGACCGAAATCCAGCAAGACAGCACCAGGCATTGCTATGGAACCCAAGGAGGTCCAAAACGGAAGTGATCCTCGAAAATCACTTTCAAGGAAACTTACGTCGAAAAACAATGCCATTCTAATTAGTGTTTTCCTAAATTAAATTCATAAATAGATAACCAAACTTTGGCTCACAGAATAAAGAACGATGACCTCCTCTTAAAAGAGGAACTTCCACTCTTCCGTGGCGGAAGCGGAACGGAACCAAGAAGGGGAAGGCGCGGGTTCTCCGACGAGCCCTTCTGCAGGAAGGACCAGCACCCCCCCCCCCGCCCCGCGGGGTTGCCGTGGAGACGGAGAGTGCTGAGTTGATGCACCAAGGCGCTGAGGCCAGGCCTTCGCTGTCTGTCTGTGGAAGGGGAGCAAAGGACCAACAGCCAAGATGGTTAGTAGCTCTGAATAGTGAGGGGGAACTTTGAGTAGATCCTGGGACTAGTGATTGGAGCTTCCTAGCACACGTCTGGGGAAAGTCTAGGTGTGTCAGCAGCGGGCGTTTCTCCCGCCCTCCCGGCGTTCCCGCAGGAGATAGGGATGCAGCTGTAAACACCTCGATGGTTTTTCCCTCCTGCGTCTCTGGTTTCCCACAGCTGAGCTGAGTATGCGATAGAAAGTAGAGCGAGAGGTGGCTGAGATGAAAAAAGATGGGCGTGAGCATCTCCTGTTGAATCGGAGTTGAGTAGCTATTTGGTTCAGGTCAGTTACAGAGTGATGACCCTTTTAGTAAAATGTCTTACTAAAAGAGTTTGAATAGGCTTCCCTGTAGGATTTGACTGGTAAATCGTAGAGCTGTCAGTCTGAGTTTAAAATTGATATTGAGAATTGGACAATACAGCTATCTTTGTTGTTTCTTTCACAGATGCTTTCAAGGGCCAAACCTGCTGTAGGCGGGGACGTACAGCACACTGACAAAAGAAAGAAGAAAGGTAGGAAGATTCCAAAACTAGAGGAGCTACTTTCACAAAGAGATTTCACTGGAGCTATTACCCTATTGGAGGTAATGTCCAAAGAAGTTTACTTTACAGAAAGTGACTACCAGAGTATAGATGAATGCTTGGGCGAATGCTTGTTGCTATGCTTTTGGAACAGGTGGGTGCATTCTGGGCTTCTTCATATAAATCCCTATAAATCTAGTCAGAGACAGATTCCAGATGAGCTAAAAAACAAACACACACCTTTCTTTCTTTCTTTTGAGACAGCGCCTCAAGCTGTCACCCTGGGTAGAGTGCCATAGTGTTACAGCTTACAGCAACCTCAAACTCTTGGGCTTAAGCAATTCTCTTGCCTCAGCCTCCCAAGTAGCTGGGACTACAGGTGCCCACCATAATGCCCTGCTATTTTTTGGTTATAGTTGTCATTCTTGTTTGGCAGGCCCAGGCTGGATTCAAATCCGCCAACTCCAGTGTATTTTACTGGTGCCCTAGCTGCTGAGCTACAGGTGCCAGGCCTTTTTTTTTTTTTTTTTTTTGAGTTAGTTTCACTATGTCACCCTCCATAGAGTGCCATGGTGTCACAGCTGACAGCAACCTCAAACTCTTGTGATTTTCTTGCCTTAGGCTCCTAAGTAGCTGGGACTACAGGCCCGCCCCAATGCCCAGCTCTTTTTCTTGTTGTTGTTGTTGTTACTGTTGCAGTTGTCATTGTTGTTTAGCAGGCCCACGCCAGTTCAAACCCACCAGCCTTGGTGTATGTGGTGGGTACCATACCCACTGAGCTACGGGTGCTGCCCCCAAACCCCTTCTTTCTTTCTTTCTTTCTTCTTTTTTTTGAGACAGAGCCTCAAGCTGTCCCCCTGGGTAGAGTGCTATGACATCACAACTCACAGCAACCTCCAATTCCTGGGCTCAAGCAATTCTCCTGCCTCCGCCTCCCAAGTAGCTGGGACTACAGGCACCTGCCACAACACCCGGCTATTTTTTTTTTGGTTGCAGCTGTCATTGTTGTTTGGTGCACCCAGGCTGGATTCCAACCGCCACCTTAGATGTATGTGGCTGGTGCCTAGCCACTTGACCCATAGGTGCCAAGCCAAACTCCTTATTTCCTGAGGGGTACTTTTGTGTATAGTCCCACTAATAGTGAATGCAACCCCAAAATATGGAGGGTCAGACAGTGCCCGTAGCTCAGTGAGTGGTACACTGGCCACGTACACCAAGGCTGGCAGGTTGATAATTCAGAATCTTCTTTCAAGGTCTCAGTCCTTCAAAGTAGGACTGAGAAACTAATAAATCCTTATTCATAATGGACGTAAATAAGCCCAGTTTTGTGAATACCCCTAACTCTTTTAGTCCTGGTAAACTAGCCTATTTAAGAGTAATAGAAAGATGTAATGGTTTGTCCTCAGTGAAAAGCTATGCCCTAATAATAAACATATGTGTCTTAATGGGGCACGATTTAAGTGTGAGGTTGAATGCAGTAGAGTATGCACATTGAAAACATGGGCTTTAACATCACGTATTACTTTAAGTCCCTATTACCACCCTTGAGTTCATTATTCAGCCTCTCTAACCTTCAGTTATTTGGCTTTAAATATTTTACATGATTCTTATATTCCTTACATATCATCCAGATTTGTTAGATAACTCAAATACTTCCTTGAGAAAGACATCAGTAAATAAGAAAAACAAGGATGATATGTTTGAAAATATAAGTTTTGTGACAATTAGGAGATAATTATACTAAGTCCTACAGGTAAATGTTTAATTAAATTGTGTATTGTCTTATTCATATTCTTAGATTGCCTACTGTTCAACAATAACTTAAGATAGCATTTTTTTTTAACAGTCACAAACCAATGGACAGGGGTCAGGGATATGTGAAAACAAACTGTCCCTGACCACCTCCCCCCATTGGTATTTAAACAGAGAGTTTACTATTGAAAGCTTTTAATTTTTTTCCTCATGAATTTTTCAACCTGAAGTTCAAACGTCATGTTGGGGAGCAAGAAGAGGATACTAATTTGTGGATTGGATACTGTGCTTTTCACCTAGGTGACTACAAGAGAGCTCTGGAGGTTAGTAAAAAGAAAAAAAAAATTAACACATCAGTATTTAAAATGTTATTAAACTTCGTATTATGATAATACATGCTCATGGTAAAGTTCAAACAACGCAGAAGGAAACTAAAAAGAAAAAAGTAACGCTATTGCCCTTCCCCAGTTCTACTTGTTTGTCAGTGGAGGCCCACTGGTGCTTTTTGTTGTGTTGCATCAGAAATCTTCTATTTATGTTCTAGTACAGTCGTTCCCCCTTATCTGAGGTATCGCTTTCCAGTTTCAGTTACCTTTCTGTGGTTTCTAACCACGGTCCTCAAGTAGATAAGGACAATGCAATAAGATGTTTTTTTAGAGAGGAAGAGGATGAGAAAAAGCATATTCATGTAACTTTTATTACAGCATAGTGTTATAATTTTTCTATTTTAGTGTGTAAATTAAACTTTATCATAGGCATGTATATATAGTAAAAAACAGTATATATGGGGTTCGGTACTATTCATGGTTTCAGAAATCCAACTGGGATTCTTAGAATGTATTCATTATAGGTGAATACTATATATGTATCTTTTTCTTTTCTTTTCTTTTTTTTTTTTTTTTAGAGACAGAGTCTCATTTTGTCACACTCGGTAGAGTGCTGTGGTGTCATACAGCTCACAGCAACCTCCAGCTCCTGGGCTTAGAAGATTCTCTTGCCTTAGCCTCCTGAGTAGCTGGGACTACAGGCGCCTGCCACAACGCCCGGCTATTTTTTGTTTTTGTTGCAGTTTGGCAGGGGCCGGGTTTGAACCCGCCACTCTCGGGGGTTGGGGCCGGCGCCCTATTCCTTTGAGCCACAGGCGCTGCCTCATCTTTTTCTTTTTTTTTTTTTTT